TCAAGTTGGCAACTGTGCCCATACCCTAGATCTCATTCTCACTTCGGTCCTTTCTCTCTTCTCAGATATCACTACTCTCCCTCCACTTGGTCCATCGGATCATTGTGTTGTTCCCTTTTCCAGTATATTTACTCGACCACTGTCCACCTTGAGACACACCTTTTAGCGCTACAACTCAGCTAACCGAGATGGTCTTCGTGAGTTCCTAACTTCTTAATCTTGGAATGATTGTTGTTTCACTTTGGACTTTTCTCAATCTGTTTCAAACTTTGAAAACATTCTTCTTGATATTACACAATTCTTTATTCCATAATTTACAAAATCCGGCCAATCCAAGTCTCCCGAGTGGTTTGACTACACATGCGATCGAGCTGTACACTTGGTCCTCCACTGCCGCACCTCTTCTCTCTCGCACCACTGCTTTTTGAAGGCTTGGAGCACGTGCTCGACAACCATTTAGAGAAACAAAGAACGCTCAAGTGGCTGCAAAGCCGGACATTTGGTCTCGCTTTCCACCGGTAACCTAAAATTGTGATCCTTTGTCCAAGTAGTTGTTCGCTATTTCTGCCGTTCTGATTTCCAACTACCTGTGATCTTGTACGTTAGCTACACAAGAAGGCTGAGTTTCTTGCTTCCCAGTTCGCAAACAAGTCTATCTTCCCCAATCAACGCACTTCTTTATCGTCTTCTTACTCCACCGGCACCCGTGTCCTACCTCATTTCAGTACTGGGAAGATCCGTCGAGCGCTGCGCTCTCTGAACATACGCAAACGTCTCCATCCGGGGGGAGGGATAGAACACTCATCGTCCGCAAAATGTGTACTCCCGAGTCGGTTCCTGATTTACGTCGGACTTTCGGTTCTCTCCTCAAAATATCTACTTTTCTAATCCCGTGATTCCGTGATTTTTCCCACTCCCAAACGCAATTATCTTCAGACCCCAATAACTACCGACCCATTTCTTTCACACTGGTCCATTCGAAAGTATTTGAAACCATTAGCCCCAACCAACTACGCATGTTCCTCGAACGTGAAGAACTACCGAGTGACCATCAGCATGGCTTCCGACAGCATCGCTCTACCGAGGGTCTGTTGGCTCTTGTCTCACAATCCTCGTCGGTTGCACTAGAAACCGACGGAGAAACACACTTAGTCTTGCTTGATATCTCGAAAGCCTTCAACCGCGTTCGGCACGAAGGTCTGTTGGCGAAACTATTCATGTTCAGGTTCCCTGTGGTTCTCGTATCATGGAGACCAAGTTCCGTCAATAAGCAAAATGTCTCCGTCCGCTTTGACGGGATTCTACCTTAGACGTTTCCCAAGGTTTAGTGCATGCGCCCACCGTCTTTCTTCTGTTTATTACTGATTTGCTTTCCAAGACTGCCAAGCCAATCTGTTTCTTTACTGATGACGCCACTCTCCGCTGATCACTCCCTCTTACCGCAGTTCTCGTCATACCAGCAGCAACATCGATCGTAGCCGCACTGTCGTTGATTTGTCACTTAGCTCCGACCTTGAACACTCCTCTTCCTGGGGCAACTACAACCATGTTGCATTTAGTTTCCACCAAACGCTGTTTATTTATCCTTTGATTCCCCCAAACTGCATTCCACGGAACCTGTTTCTTTCCTTGGATCACCCATAACTTTATCTTGGTCCCCTGTTGTGTCTCGGCTTGCTTCCTCCGTTACTTGTCACGATGTTTTTATTCTACATTAAACACCTCTTCATCCCAGCTCATTTTTTGTACTGCGCAAGGATCGAATCCACCCCGCTCTTGAATACTGAAGTCACGTGTGAGGAGGGGCTTCGTGTTCTGCCCTTCACCCTTTTGATCGGGTTCAAAGGAAAGCTATCCGGCTGACCAATGATCCTACTTTAACTTCCAGTCTGCAGTCGCTAGTCCATTGTTGGACAGTTGATTCGCTGTCCCTTCTGCACCAGTACTATTTTGCTTTTCGCTCTTCAGAACTAGCCTCAGCAGTCACTTTTCATGTAACTTTGCGAGCACAGATAGCTACTCATTCCTATCGGATTTCAGTCGCTAGATCTCCTCTACTTCAATCTTTGTTTTTACCCGAACTGCCAAGTTGTAGAACACTCTCCCACTCTGTCATTTACAATCTGTTACTCGCCAAACGCAGGATCAATAAGCTGAATCTTACATGAATGTTACTCTGCTCTCCATTTTACAGTATGCTTTTCGACCATAGGGATTCCACTTTTTACTACAATTCACGTCGTGTAATAATAGTAAAAAACGGGGTGAAGACGACACGGACGATCAATTTGTCTGTATGGTCAATTGCCAATGCCAGATGTGCAAGCTGTGCATGATGACAAAAGAGCGATTCCAGAGCTTGATTTTACTGTGTGTGCGTTCTAGTTGACCGGAGACACTCCGAACCCGGCGTTCATGGTAACAGCTGCGCTGGAACACTGATATCAAATAAAGTTCTATCAGGCTTTTTACTCTAGACCTAGGAAGGATTATGGTCTACCGAACTCTGTATTATACCAGTGGGAAGAGAGAGCTCAATAGTTCACCTTTTAATTTAACTAAGTGCCAGAAACAATGCCTTATGTGCTCCAGTTAAATCATGCCGATCATCATCCAACATCTTTACTCACAGCCTTCCAGCGGCGGAGGTTTCCCACCAACGAGAGAGGACGAAGAGCCAATATCCGGGGCTATAATCAGATCGGTGAACCACTGGTAGTCCACCTGAGGGAGTGGGTCAAAAACCCTGACCAGACCAGCCAAAAAGAGATGTACAAGCCACACTCAACCACATCTTGATTGTGGTGGTGGTCGCCAGCTCGATTGGGCATCAAGGTATATATATATATATATATATATATATATATGCAGG